CCCCCCCCCCCCCGTAGTAATGGCCATGCTCCCTAGAGGAGCCAGCCCCTTTAGGAAGGATGGGGGCAAGAGGGTGTTGGCATGGGCTTTAGGGGTCAGGTTAAAGATTGCATAGGGGTGGGGGTGAAAGGGTGTCAGGGCCTAGGTAGACAGGAAACTTATTTGCATAATGAATAGGCAGATAAAATATTGCTGGTCCACCTAAAGCTTGTGAATGGGTTTGCTACTCCATGGCATAAAGCTGGGAACCACTAGTTACAGAGGCTTTTGGACAAGATGAACACCCTTCTGGCCTTACATCCTTACACCAGGCCCCTCCACTAGAGAGCTTGTATGTGATACTCTTACTTCATCAAGTCATGGCTCTGGCACCTGTTCGAAACTGGAGAGAGTGGCGAAGAGGAAGAATAGTACTTAAAATGTTTAAACCTTAAACTAGTGTTGGTATCTCTCATTTTATGGCTGTTACCTGCCAGCCTTGATGGACACCAGAGACTTTGGTTTATCTGTCTCTGTGGTTTAACATCCTTGCATGGTATCTGTAGTATTAGCACAACCTGTGCACTGATGGAGATGACACCATGAAATGGAGCCTTGGAATACTGAATTATGTATACTCCAAGCTAGATTCTGTAGGGATCTGGTACACTTGAAATGGTATAGACAAATTGCCTCAAGTAGAGGCCGTGATACTTTTAATTTATCTGCAAATGAAGATGGTGGGGTCTCTTTTTTTCTTTCAGAGGATGCTAGTACAGGAAAGAAAGAAAAGGACAAGAAGAACAGAAAAGGCAAGGATAAAGAGAATGGTTCTGTGTCTAGCAACGAGACACCACTGCCACCACCACCAGATGAACTTGACCCTCCTCGTGCAGTGGTAAGTAGACTTTCCAGAGGCTTATAAAGAACAATTAAATTGGCAAAAGTTAGACTTCAAACCTAGTATTGGATAACATTTCAACTTAATGCTGTTGTCTGAAATAGAAATTGTACCCATATCACAGAGTGGTACTGAATGGAGAGAAGAAACTAGTGGTGTCCTGCAGTGGTCTGTTCTGGAATTAATCCTATTAACCATGCATAAATGATCTAGAAAGAGGTAGAGTGAGGTGGCAAAACTTGCAGATATTAATCTGCTCAAGATAGTTAAGACCAAAGCAGACTGTAAAGAGCTTCAAAAGGATCTCACAACTAAGTGGCTGGGCAACAGAATAGCAAATGAATTTTAATATTGATAATTCAAAGTAATTCATCTTGGAAAAACATAATCCCAAATATAGATTTACAAACTGATGCTGACTAAATTAGCTGCTACCACTTGATCTTGGAGTTGTGAAGAGTTCTCTGAACCTCTACTCACTGTGCAGCAGCAGTCAAAAAGCAAACAATGTTAGGAATAAATGAAGGGATGGAGAATAAGAATCTGCTTTGCCTGTATATAAATCCCTGGTATGCCCACATCTTGAACACTGCATACAGATGTGGTTGCCTCTTCAAGAAAGCAGTCCTGGCATTGGAAAATTCAGAAAAGGGCAACAAAAATGATTAGGGGTGTGGCGTGGCTGCCATATGAGGGTGCATATAGACTAGTCTCCTGTAAGCTGAAGATTCCCAATGATGGACATGATGATGGTCTATAAAATCATGACACGGAGAAAGTGAATAAGGAAAAGTTATGTTCATAGCATAAGAACTAGGGATCACCAAATGAAATTAGTAGGTAGCAAGCTTAAAATAAAAAGCATTTCTTCAGAAAACATTGAGTCAGTGTGTGTGGAACTCCTTGACAGGATCTTGTGAAGACCTGGGTTTTAATAGAGTTCAAAAAATAAATGTATGCAGTGTAGGTCCATAAATAGCTATTAGCCAGGATGGGTAGAGATGTTGCTCCGAACAGCTATTTGTCAGTGGCTGGGAATGATTGACAGGAGAGAAGGATCACTTGATTAACAGTTCTGTTCATTCCCTTTAGGGCACCTAGTATTGACCACTATCAAAAAGCAGGATACTGGGCTAGATGGATTTTTGGTCTTACCCAGTATGGCTATTCTTATACCCTTATGAAAAGGGACTCTAGGTAGCCGGAGTCATTTAAGATGGTGGTAGTGATAGTAGCTGATCACTATGAGATACTGAAGCACTTCCTTCCCACTCACTTGGAGCGTCCTAGGGCTGGCAGGGAGCCTCTATCCCATCTCCAGCTCTACAGTTTAATCCATAAAGTGATTGAGTTGCTCAGGAAGTAGATATGACTGTTTTGGCATTTGGAACGGGTATAAAAATACTAAGCTTAGCTTTTTTCCTAACTACCCTAGTCAGTGTAGGGATACCCTGTGAATAACTTAAGTTGAGGGGCGTTGGAAAGATATTAGGACTTAATATGGCCATGAGCAGAGCATTATTTGCCCCAAAGAGCTTGTTAACTGTGTAATCGTCATCCTTAGGAGGATGATGACGATGACTGGGGTGAAGACACAACAGAAGAAGCCCAGAGACGCAGAATGGATGAAATCAGTGAACATGCAAAGAACCTCACACTTAGTGATGACCTGGAAAGAACAATAGAAGAGAGAGTCAACATATTATTTGACTTTGTTAAGGTAAAACTACAGATTTTTCCCTAAGGAAAGAGTATATTTAAGTGTAGTGTAAAAAGCCTACTATAACTTGGGGATGTGGGAGTGAGTTGGGATTGAGTAAGAAGCTTATGCTTGGTATGTCATGAGTTGACTGACTTCTCGCCTACAGAAAAAGAAGGAAGAAGGTGTCATTGAGACTTCTGACAAAGATATTGTAGCAGAAGCGGAGAGACTGGATGTGAAGGCTATGGGCCCTCTAGTTTTAACTGAAGTCCTCTTCGATGAGAGGATTCGAGAACAGATAAAGAGATACAGACGCCACTTCCTACGTGTAAGCCTTTAAATCTCTAAGGCAACAGTATTGGCTGCTTTATATAAAGTCTGACACGTGCTATTAAACTCTCTTAGGAGATGAGGTTCTGAATACTATGGAGAAAAAAAAGAATCTGAGTCTCTTGTTAAACTGACTGCTTCCCAAAAACTTGCCTCTACCTGGGCCAAGCCAGTGGTAACTTTAGTCATGTAACATAATTAAATGAAAGTTACTGGCTTAGTCCTAGATGAAGACAGTTGTACAGAATGCTGGAACTAAGATTTATCCTCGTATTTTACCAAAAGAAACTAATGGTTGCCAACTGTACTGTTTCCTTAGTTCTGCCACAACAACAAGAAAGCTCAGAGATACCTTCTTCATGGCTTGGAGTGTGTGGTTGCCATGCATCAATCTCAGCTTATTTCTAAAATTCCACATATCCTGAAGGAAATGTATGATGCAGATCTTCTGGAAGAAGAGGTCATCCTTAGCTGGGCAGAAAAGGTACTTGGCTGTTTAAGTGCAGTGTTCACTTGTGTCTGTTCCCCCCTCGGGAGGGGGAGGCATGATGTGGTCCCCTTCCTATAGTACAATGCAAATCTTAAAGTGTAGACTAAGGTGACTTTGGGGGCTGGGCTTTATTCCTGAGGAGCAGTTTGTCAGTCTCTTTAGTTTTTTAGCAGTTCATACACTAGAGAGGTTACATACGCTAGAGAAGTTACAATCTTCCTTTCTTACAGGCCTCTAAGAAATATGTCTCAAAGGAGCTTGCTAAAGAAATCCGCAGCAAAGCAGAACCCTTCATCAAATGGCTGAAGGAAGCTGAGGAAGAATCATCTGGTAATGAAGAAGAGGATGAAGATGAAAATATTGAGGTAAGACTGGCATTTGTTTGTTTTTTCTCCCCTGTTGGAATTTTCCCCAGGTGTGGCCTCAGGCAACTAGTCATGGTGGAAAAATTTGCTGCTTTCTTTAGCAGGCTCCTTTTTTTAGGTACTCTTTTGTCACTTAAATTTTTTTTTTTAATATTGCCAATGCTTGTTTGAGCAAGTAATCCTCTTCATGGTTTAACAATTTATAAATACTACAATCCTTGCTCCCTTTCCTCTGTTGTAGACATGGAATGTCCCTGATAAAATGCATAAAACCTCTGCTTGATGTCATTGTCAGGTTAAATTATGCCTTTTAAATTAATAGGATAAATATTACCATTTACAAAATAGTCTTTCATGTATAAGCCTTCTAGATTTAGATCTAGGGATGTGAGTGATTAGTCACTTCCTCCCCTTTGCTGCCTTCATCAGAGGCAGCAAGGAGGAGGGGGCAGTTGGCACTTCAAAGCAGCAGTGCCACATGGAGTCAGGGGCCAGACCCCAGGCTCCACATGGCTCTGCTGCTTTGAAATGCCATGGGGTCAGTGGGGAACTGCTTGAGTCCCCAGCTGGCCTGCAGTGCCTTTGTGCTTCCTTGTGAGGTGGGTTTTCCCTTAAGTATTTCCTTAGTTACTGGTGTACTATTTCTCTTACCTACCTATTGAGAGGGTGTGGTGACTGGTAGAAACAGCTAGGAATAGCTTTTAGAAGATTGCAGTCTCCCTAAAATGAAGTACCTCCTACTTGCTTTGTACATCTAGTTTGCACCTTAGCTAAACTACTTCTGACCTACTAGATGTTTCCAATACTATCATGGAAGATGATGTCCATAAACATTAAATCTTCTCTTTCTAGGTGGTGTATTCCAAGACTGCCAGTGTACCTAAAGTTGAAACTGTGAAGCCTGTAAAGAAGGATGATGACCTAGATATTGATGCCATTTAAAAATGATGCAACCTTGCTTGCAGTGTATACGGCAAACTGCTCTGCATTTTCTTCCAGAAGTGCAACATGTATGTGCACAAGTTGAAATGGCTTAACATCATGCTACTTTAGTACTCAATTGTCTTTTACTGTGACTGGTTTTGTGTAAACTATAAGCCAAACACCAAGGAGTCCATACACATCAGTGAACTGATCTAGTTTGTTAATGGCATGTTTCTTTTTAAACTTGTGTGGGACACATACTTGGAGCACATTTATACAGCTGTGGGAATAAAGGATTTGGTTTTGGTCAATCTTGAGTCAGAGCCATCACTAAACTTGTGCCCATCTTGAAGGGAGAACCACTTAGTAGGCATCTTTCATGCCAAATTGATTGCAGTGGTATTGCTTTCTAGAGAGGAGCATTACACAAAGCTGCTAAGAAATAGATTCCCAGTGGTGATGAGAAATATTGTATTTTGCTGCTCTTGCTCTTCTAGCTTTTTGGAGGTGCTAAAAGGTTATCAGTGTTCAAAGTGACCAAGTCTCAACTAACAGCCGTACTAGCATGTATGGGTTAAAACAGTGTAATCTCTCCTCCTGCAGTCTATAGCTGGCCAAAAGATGCTTCATACTGCAGTTTGAGCTGCTTGTCAAAAGGCAAAAGGAAGATTAAGACTGCTTAGATTTCAGATTCAGTTTAGAGTTGACTAAACGATCTCTCTCAAATCACACATGCCTTTTGCCAACAGACATCAGGTTTTGTTCTTGAACAAAGCAAAAATTTTGACACAAGCAACTTTCTTCAGCAAGGAACTCTTCAACATGTAGGAGCTCCTCTAACAAGAGGACTAGGTACCTAATTGCCTCTTACAACTTTTTTTTTCCTGATCAGTCAGTGTGAATACCCTCAACTACAGCTCAGAAGGTTCAGCTTCGTGGCAGGGCACCAGACTGTAGCATCTCATGCTGTCAAGCTGAGCTGAACAGATTAGTTTTCAATATGACTATGGTAGGTGTCCACAGGCCATAGTGAATTTCCAAAAGTCGGTACGTCACTTGAAATGTAATAGGCGTCTGACACACAAGGTTGAAACGGCTGGCTTAAACATCCACCCCTCAAGCTCTTTTGTTCCCTCTGTCCCCAAATGTCTTTGCTTTTGCTTTTTAACTCTTTGTTTTAGGGATGTAATAGTATACAGTAATTCCTCATTTAACACAGTAGATACACAATCATTTTCTGAAACATGTTATGCGGGGTCCATTTTCCCATTGAAAATGGAAAAGGTGGTGGTTGCGTTTTAAGCAGTGTTGTCGAAGTCATTTTCAGTTGGTGCTGAGTAGCCAACGTCTAAGTTAGACAATGTAGATGAAACGGGGCCATCTTGTTCCTCATTTTTTTTAGGCTGAACAAACTTTTGATGGCTGCTTTTTGTTTGTTGGTTGTAAAGTTGCTGGTAGCAAGATATGGTGCTCTGTTTGCTACTTTTGAGCATCACTTAAGCTTAAATGCTTCAGCCATAACTTTCATTGATAATGTTTGAATAACTGGCTCAGCATATTCAGGCTCATTTTCCAAACGCTGCTCATCTAGAAGCTTCAACTCATTGATAGACAGCCAACTCTCCCCATGAGGGTTGAGTAACTCTTGCACATCAGTAGCATTATCCACCTCTAATTCTGCTTCATGGCCTAGGGCTACAATCTGCTTTTTAGCTTCAGCTATTTCAGTGTTGGAGTTGGCAAATGTCATTGAGGAGCCTTTGGCCATTATCTTTGAAAAGTCGTGGAGATCGGGCGAAATCCCGGATGATTGGAAAAAGGCAAATGTAGTGCCCCTCTTCAAAAAAGGGAAGAAGGACGATCCAGGGAACCATAGGCCGGTCAGTCTTACCTCGGTTCCTGGAAAAATCATGGAAGGGATCCTAAAGGAATCCATTTTGAGACACTTGAATGAGAGGAAAGTGATCAGGAATAGTCAGCATGGATTCACAAAGGGCAAGTCGTGCTTGACCAATCTGATTAGCTTCTATGATAACTGGCTCAGTGGACATGGGAAAGTCAGTGGATGTTATATACCTTGACTTTAGCAAGGCTTTTGATACAGTCTCCCACAATATTCTTGCTAGCAAGTTAAGGGAATGCGGATTGGATAAATGGACGATAAGATGGATAGAAAGATGGCTAGAAGGCCGGGCCCAGCGGGTAGTGATCAACGGTTCGATGTCAGGATGGCGGTCGGTTTCTAGTGGAGTGCCCCAAGGTTCGGTTCTAGGACCGGTTTTGTTCAATATCTTTATTAATGACCTGGATGAGGGGATAGATTGCACCCTCAGCAAGTTTGCAGATGACACTAAGCTAGGGGGAGAGGTAGATACGCTTAAGGGCAGAGATAGGGTCCAGAGTGACTTAGACAAATTGGAGGATTGGGCCACTAGAAATCTCATGAGATTCAACAAAGACAAGTGTAGAGTCCTGCACTTGGGACGGAAGACTCCCCAGCATAGTTACAGGCTGGGGGCCAACCAGTTAAGTAGTAGTTCTGCAGAAAAGGACCTGGGGGTTACAGTGGATGAGAAGCTAGATATGAGTCAACAGTGTGCCCTTGTAGCCAAGAAGGCTAATGGTATATTAGGATGCATTAAGAGGAGCATTGCCAGCAGATCCAGAGATGTCATTATTCCCCTTTATTCGGCATTGGTGAGGCCACATCTGGAGTACTGTGTCCAGTTCTGGGCCCCCCACTACAAAAAGGATGCGGACGCCTTGGAGAGGGTCCAGCGGAGGGCAACCAAAATGTTTAGGGGTCTGGAGCATATGACCTACGAGGAGAGGCTGAGGGCCTTGGGTCTGTTTAGTCTGCAGAAGCGAAGAGTGAGGGGGGACTTGATAGCAGCCTTCAACTTCCTGAAGGGAGGTTCCAAAGAGGATGGAGAGAGGCTGGTCTCAGTAGTGACAGAAGGCAGAACAAGGAGCAATGGGCTCAAGTTGTGGTGGGAGAGGTCCAGATTGGATATTAGGAAAAACTATTTTACTAGGAGGGTAGTGAAGCATTGGAATGGGTTACCTAGGGCAGTAGTGGAGTCTCCATCCCTAGAGGAGTTTAAGTCTCGGCTTGACAAAGCCCTGGCCGGGTTGATTTAGATGGGATTGGTCCTGCCTAGAGCGGAGGGCTGGACTTGACGACCTTCTGAGGTCTCTTCCAGTTCTGATTCTATGATAAGGGGATGGTTGGATGAAATAACATGATCTTGGTAACTAATTGACCATTAATTACCAGTTGGAAATAGGTCAATGGAGGGATGATAGGAGTTGCTATAGGGAACTTTCTGGGTGTCTGGCTGGTGAGTCTTGCCCCCATGCTCAGGGGTTAGCTGATCGCCATATTTGGGGTCAGGAAGGAATTTTCCTCCAGGGTAGATTGGCAGAGGCCCTGGAGGTTTTTCGCCTTCCTCTGGAGCATGGGGCACAGATCACAGCTGAAGGCAGCTCTGCATGTTGGGGCCTTCAAAGTATTGGAAGGCTTCAATATCTGAGACATAGGTGAGAGGATTATTCTAAGAGGGGTGGGCGAGATTCTGTGGCCTGCACTGTGCAGGGGGTCAGACTAGGTGATCATAATGGTCCCTTCTGACCTTAAAGTCTATGAGTCTATGAGTGTCAAACTCCCTAAACTTGTGAACACAGGCAGGCCATATACTGTGCCAAACTGTGTTAAGGCAACTCAAAACTTCTGCACAAGCCTCTGCTATATCTATAGCATCTTGAATGTTAAATTTTCTCCAGAATTCCTTGATTGTAGGCTTATTCTCGCTGTCTGTCTCCTTTATAAGCCTCGTGAACATACAGGGCAAGTAATAAGCCTCAAACAGCTATCACTCCTTGATCAAGAGGTTGAATTAATGAGGTTATATGGGGTGGGGAGTAAAAACATGAATGTTTTCTGACAGATCAGTAAGGCGAGGCTGCTCTGGTGCATTATCTAGAAGTAGAAAATTTTGCTTTCAAAATTTTGACAGTCTTTCAACTCAGCTGTTAGACGATTGCAGAAGTAGTCTGTGAAGATGCTTGCAGTTACCCATGTTTTTGCATTAGATCTCCAAACAGGAAGATGATCTTTGAATAGCTAGCTAAAGCTCTAGCGTTGACAGAACAGTAACCCACTACCTGTTTGAAGTTGCAATCCGTGTTGGCATTGGTGCATAGCATCACAGTGATAGTCCTTTGCAGCCTTAAAACCAGGTGCATAAGCCTCATCGTGAGAGAGAGATGTGCGTGCTGCTAGGTTCAACACCTGTTTAGACAAATAGCTTCAAATATCACTGGGAATTATTCAGCAGCTTCTGTGTTTGCAGCAGCAGCCTCTCCAGTTTCTTTTATATTATGTAAGTTTGAACACTTTTTAAAGCATTTGAACCACCCATGCCTTGAATTAAATGGCTTGGCATCAGTTTCATTCAATTCTATTTTAACAGCATCATATAAAGCTTTGGCTTTTTCCTGAATAGCAGCCAAACTTACTGGTGTCTTTCATTGTGTTTGGTCTTTAATCCACCATAGTCCAGCGCCTCTCCATATTTTCCACTAGGTTAGATCATGTGTGAACAACCTTCACGCTTACTGGTGTTGCATTTTTGCAACTTTCCTTAATTTTCTCATCTTGAGCATGGATTGTGTGCACACTAGATCATGCATATTCAAAGTGCAGGAGATGTCACAATTGTGTTCACCTTTCTCAATTCACTTAATCACTTCAAGTTTCACTTTTAATGTAAACAATTTTCTATGCTACTTGCTTGCAGAAGCAGATGTATCATTTTCCTTATGCTTTCTACTCATAAGGGATACACTAATACACAGCAAGATACGGTACAGTATCTAACAATTCAGTACAAGACATTGTGGTTTAACACATGATTAAACATGAGTGACCACATGTACAGTGTATTCATCTGCTCATGCATACAGTAAAACTCCCAATAGGGCATCAGCTGGAACCCAGAAGCACTTTGGTCAGCTGCTCTCTTGGCAGGGCTGCTGAGAGCTGTATGTGCACTCGTGGCACCAGCCTGCACTTGTTAGCAGGACATAAGGTTGGGGGAGAAAGGGGACTGGGTTACAGCAGGGAGGGGAGGAGAGAAGGGGGATTGGATTGGGAGTAAAGTATGCCCCTGTGACCAGTCTGCTGGAACCTGCACTGCGTCCGGCAAAGGGGGGGGGGGTCATCTCTGCCACTTTGCAGGGAGGTGGAGGAAGCCACACACAGCTGCCAGCAACAGGCCAGCTGGGGAAACTTGTTTCGGGGATGGTTGTT